GTGTGTGTGTGTGTGTGTGTGTGTGTGTGTGTGTGTGTGTGGTCCCCTTGGGTTCAGACACTCCCCAGACCCCTTGCTCTTAGGTAGGCCTCCACTGAGCCCATGACAAGGAGCCATAAGAGAAGCAGGCCTCTCTGCAGGCCTGGTCTTTTGGCATTTATTTTGAAAGGGTCAGTCAGCTTCAGGTGTGGTGGAATAAAATGCGTATTATGTGGAAGGCATTCTGAGGAGACTGAATTAATTCACATTCACACATAAGGAAGCCCTGGGGAGGAAATGGCCCATCCATCAGGCCTGATTTCTTGCCAGCCAGGCTCTCTTGGGCAGGACATAGGTGTCCAGCGTGTTTGGGATGTATTTTTTTGTGCATTAGGAAGTACCTTGTAACTCAGAACCAAGAGTAAGAATAGTGAGTGGGATAATATTCCAGTTACTTCGCTCTTAAGTCTGCATAGCCTCTGGCTCAGGGTCTTGACCAGGGGGCAGGATCAGAGCAAGTGAGGGCTCCCCGAGGAATCCTTGCCCCTTGTCCCGACCTCACTGGTCCTGCGCCAGGGCTTCCTGCTCTCAGGACAGTTATGGTCATCAGGTAAGGCCCAGGGGAACACCCCAGTAGCCGCGCTTAAAACTAAAGCTGAAAATACAAAGGGCAACTTAAACGTTCAGATTGGCTCAACTCCAATAATCATTAAAAGCATCTGAAAGAGCTACAAGATGTGAGGACTTTTCTGAGGCATAGATTAGAACAGATGTTGACAGTGAGGCCCCCGGTGCTGGGGCAGCTCGGTGAGGATGGGGGATGGCATTCTCCTGCAGTGTGTGCCTGGCGGTGGGCAGAGCACGGGGCGGTGCTGGGAGCCTTGCATTTCTCACCTGTTTTTTTTTTTTTAAAGATTTATTTATTATTTTATATAAATAATTTACCTTTTGATTCATTAATTCCCCTCCTGGCCATGATTTGAAATTTATAAAGTATTTTATCTGGTAATGTCCATCTCAGCATTATTACAGTGGCAAAAAGTTTAGAACCTAAATGGCCAATAGGGGACTAGTTGAGAAAGTTCTTATGACGGTACATCATGCATGTTTATGAAGACTTAATGATAGAGGAAAATGCTTATGATAGAATGTTATGGGGAGAAAAAGCCAGAACAAGTTCTTAATTCTATGTCTTATGCACAGAAGAAAGGAAAGACACCAAAATGCCAGTAATGGGTCCCTTTGAATGGTGATCGTAGGGGTAAATCTTCTTTATACTTTTCTATAATTGGCATGTATTATTTTATAATCAGAAAAAAAGTTTGAGGGGCGCCTGGGTGGCTCAGTCGTTAAGCGTCTGCCTTCAGCGCAGGTCATGGTCCCAGGGTCCTGGGATCGAGCCCCGCATCGGGCTCCCTGCTC